GAAAAACAGCACTGTTCTCTCCAGAAGAGAGCGGGGAAGGGTAAAGCAAGGCACGGAGCCTAGGAAGTAAAACTAACAAATAAAACGGCGAAGAAACCAGGACCCCCTAGAGAGGGAAGAGCAAGACACACCACCAGCGTTAGAGCCAAGAGAGAAGAGGAGCTCATGCCCCCAGACCCTCAGCCCAAGCGGCAGGTGATCCAAGGGTGCTATGAACCCCCACCAATCCCAGGGCCAAGTCCCTCATTAGTGTTCATCTATAGGGCCATTAAAGTTGACTTCCATAGCAACAGAGTATCTCCTTGTACATCTACCTAAAACCTCCAAACTAAATAATCAAGAGGCCCAAACCATTTTTCTTCCCATCACCAAAGGCAGTGGATCATACCTTAAAACAGGAGCGTCTAGGATCTGGTTTTCCTACCAAAATTGTAGTCTGGTCCATGAAGCCATTAAGTGTATCATGGGGGATTCTGTTATTTAGGAGGGCTTGGTGGAGGCTGGTCCTGGGGGCATGCGGGGGAGCCTACAAATCTCCCTAACTGTCACTCATTTACATGGTCCGTGCATCATCAGCCCCTAAAAATTAATTAATTTAATTAAGAAGAGGCACCCTGGCACACTGGCCCTGCAGCTGGTGAATACTAAACAAGCAAACGGCCTTTGGGCAGGGAAGAGCTAGCTACCTGCCACGACCTGACCCTCCCAGGGCCTGACCCTCCCAGGGAACGTCCCTGGGATCATCAGCAGTAAAGATGCACATAAAGCTGCCATTTGGGTTTGCCATTACAGGGAGGTTCAGTAGAAACGGCAAAGGAGAGCAGAGGGCCAGAAGTGAGTCCTGATGCTCAGGACTGCCTCCCTGTTCTACAGGCTCCATAAAGGAATCCCAAAGCTACCCTTTCAGAGTCTTTAAGCTCTACAGGACTTTGCAAATCTACCACTCACACCACAGTTTCCCCATCCTGGACCTTGTCCAGCAGAACTTAGGATGGCCATGCCTCCCTGTCCCCAAGGAGGCCATGCAGGCCCGAGAGGCGGCACCCATGGCACCAGAGGGGAGCCATTCTGATCCCGGGAGCACAAGGTGCTCAGCTCTGGCTCAGAAGCTGGAGGTCCTCCCAGCTGAGGGATGGAGGAGTCTCCTAAATGAAAACCATGCTCAGGAGGCAGGCAGTGGAGACTTTTGCCTCTGAAGTAGTGAAAACAACTCAAAGTAGACAGGAAGCGAGAGATAGATAAGGCTGAGGAAAAAGATGCTTCGCTCAAGTAGATAAATTTGGAATCTGAGGTTCTCCAAGTGCTTCTGCTTACAGATTATGGTTCTTCTTTCTTAACACCTCCGCCTGTACCCTCTGCCCCTATAAATGTGCACTTTCAGGAGTCCACCTACCTTCACAACCACCAGAGTAAGATTTGGTCTATCTGTTACACGTTGCAGCTTTAAAATTAATTCATTTGGGGTACATCCAGAAAGGATGCAGACCAATTATCCAGAATACAAGCAACAATAATTGTTGGCAAGGATGTGGGAGAAAAGGTACATTGCTGGTGAGACTGCAAACTGGTGCAAGCATTATGGAAATCAGTATGAAGATTCCTCAGAAAACTTGGAATAAAACCACCTTTTGACCCAGTTATCCCACTCCTTCGTTTATACCCAAAGGACTTTAAATCAGCATACTTCAGTGACACGGCCACATCAATGCTTATAGCAGCTCAATTCACAACAGGTGAGCTATGGAATCAACCTAAGTGCACTTCAAAAGATGAATGGATAAAGAAAATGTGGTACATATAAACAATGGAATATTACTCAGCCTTAAAGAAAAATGAGATTATGGCATTTGCAGGTAAATGGATGGAACTGGAGACTCTCATGGTAAGTGAAAGAAGCCAATCCCCCCAAAAAACAAAGGTCAAATGTTTTCTCTGGTATATGGATGCTAATTCACAATGAAGGGATTAGGGCTAAGAAAGAACAGAGGTACTCTGGATTAGGCAGAGGGGAGTAAAGAGAAGGGATGGGATAAGGAGGTGAGAAGGGCAGTGGAATGAATCAGACATTATTACCCTATGTGCATATATGATTAACAATCAGTGTGATTCTACATCATGTACAACCAGAAGAATGAGAAGTTATACTCCATTTATGTAGGATGTGTCAAAATGCATTCTACTGTCATGTATAGCTAATTAGGGCAAAAAAATGCAAACCAGTAACCTTTGGGAAGACTTCCTGGTACCATGCTTCAGAACTGCATACATTCTGACTCAATCACCCCCTAGGAGATCCTGTGATTGAGTTCCTTCTCCACCACTAGCACAAGTCTGTTTGTAACACTCAGGATTTCCCACACTCTGGGCCCACACCTGGGGCACAGGGAGGAAAATAACTATTTTAACATAGCCTCATAAAAGTACTCCTGGCCACAGGAACAAGATGGCAAATGCCAAGCCTGTCTTTCTGGCAGAAGGTATACCCCAGGATTTCCCTGAGATAAAAGGATAAGAAAATCCGATGCCACTAACTGGACTCTTCAGGAATTGAACCCCTAACCATGTAATACTCCTCCTCTGGGTGCCAAAGACGGAGATAAAAAGGTCCAAACAAATTTTAAAAAAAACCACTCTCTCCCTCTGAATCCTTAAAAGTCACTGTCACCCAGGAGTTTCCAGGAATCAGGAAACAGTCAAGGCATTTTGTGCCTTTTTCACTTAACCTCCATTCTGACAAATTCACCAACATAATCCAATCAGAGGAAATATCAGTGTAAAACCCTCCTATTACAGAAATGTGTGCCAAAAGATTAAAAAAAAATAAAACTTGGTGGTGACTCGATTCTGGACACACCAGTGATCAGAAGCTTTTGTTCTTGTTAGTAAAGTAAGTAGTTAGGTGGGGATTCTAGCCAGATCTACTTCTGGATTACAAAGGGACCAATGTATCATAAGTGGCCTGTCTCCCTCCCTCAAGCAGACAAAGAAGGAAATGAAAGTGGATTGTCTTAAGCAAATACATTTGTACAAACAACAGCTTACCTTAATGTTACTGGACTCTCCTTCCTCCCCCACCTCTATACCAAATTACAAAAAAAATTAAAGGACAAAAGAGTGAAGCCATTCATAAGGAATCCCCTGGAGAAGAAAGCCCACAGGCCCACAGGTGGCCCCATCACTTCCATTACTTGCCCAGGTCCTTTATCTTTAAATGTAAATCACCCCCACAACATCTCCGTGACCTCTCTTCATGCCTGTGTGAAGCCTGAGCGTCTAGAATCTATAAAGCAAATATAAAACTCACGCTGTCCTGCCCTGGATGAAGCGCGAGGTTCCTTCAAACATTTTCTAAGCTTAACCTGTCTCCCTTTTCTGGACTCTCCCACAACCAAAAAATGAAGGCCACTTAAATCCAGAGATTCAAGAGACCTTCAGCAACTCAGTGAGACTTTGTCTCTAAATAAAACATAAAATAGGGCTGGGGATATGGCTCAGGGGTTGAGTGCCCCTGGGTTCAATCCCTGGTACCCCCCCCACCAAAAAAAAGTGGATCTTAGCAGTAAATTCTACTGCCTAAACTGTATCTCAGCCAATAATTAATACTGTACCTACAATAATTAATACTGTACCAATAATTAATACTGAAAGCTCTCAACCAACCAAATGAGAAAACAGAATCTACCCACAACATTTCAAGAGCTGCACGAGTATCTCTGGCTAAGTATTTTAAAGAAGATGAAGGGCTGGGAATATGGCTCAGTTGGTAGAGTGCTTGCCTCACATTCACAAAGCCCTGGATTCAATCCACAGAACCAAAAAAAAAAAAAAAAAAAAAACAGAAGATGCAGAGGTCTGCAAGGTCAGCTGCCCAGTGAGTCACAGACTTTAGTGGCTGGGTTATCAAAGTGGGATCTCATGCTGCCCATTTTTCCGTGGGGCTTTTTAAGGTTTAAATGTGCTATGAAATGCTCAGCTGGAGCCAAAAGGCAAAAGTGTTTCTTTCTATAACACTATGACATAACCAAACACTCTCAACTTGAAAGACGATTTTCCCCACCACGGTGGGGCAGTGGGAAGACCTCAACTGCTGGGTGTTGAAATGCTAAGAAGATATGAAATCGGGTTTGACAACACGGCATTTCAGCAGGCACTATTTTACAGACTGGTTTCTGATTAAAATATGAACTTCAGCACACCTGTCATCCCAGCAGCTCAGGAGGCTGAGGCAGGAGGATCATGAGTTCAAAGCCAGCCTCATCAACTTAGCGAGGCTGTAAGCAACTCACTGAGACCCTGTCTCTAAATAAAATACAAAAAAAATGGCTGGGGATGGGGCTCAGTGGTTGAGTGCCCCGGGTTCAATACCTGCCCCCGAAAAGAAACTTCACATGCCATGAAATGACAGGGATAAAGCATCAGATATTCTGTGCGACCTCCATCCTTAAATACAGTCAAGCTTTATGTCAATTGGAAACCTGGCTGTGGTTTTCTTTGGAGTTCTGTTTGTTTTGACTCATTCATTCACCAAGGCCTCTAAAAAGATGCCTCACCTCTTCCATATGTTCTGTATCTACACTCAACAACATTCGTGTGCAGTTCCAGGTCATTTACTCCCAAGGCATTTGTCTTAAGAGTGGATCTTGTCAGGTGGGCATGGTGGCGCACACATGTCATCCCAGCCACTCGGGAGGCTGAGGCAGGAGGATCACAAGTTCAAAGCCAGCCTCAGCAACTGTGAGATGCTAAGCAACTCAGTGAGACCTGGCTCTAAATAAAATATAAAATGGGGTCAGGGATGGGGCTCAGTGGTCAAGTACCCCTGAGTTCAACCTGGTACCAAAAAAAGTGGATCTTAGCAGTAAATTCTACTTCCTAAACTGTACCTCAGCCAATAATTATTACTGTACCTACTGAATGTGAGTCCTATTTTTTTTTTTTTTAACAAACCACCTTACCAAAAGACAGTCCCACTTACAGAAACGTAAAAAACACACCCTTACCCTGTGGATCTGTAGATACTCTATCCTCACTGTGCTGACTCAGTTCACAGGGCTTCTTCACGTCTGAGCAGGAATCAAACCCCATGGTTCACACCAAGCCCAGACATCCATTGCAGCAGCTGCCCTGGGAACACTGGGAAGTCTCTGCTCACAGCTTTCTATTCAATGAACACAGTCTCCAGTTCTAGCCATCACCTTTGCAAGAAGACAAAATTAAGTCTGAGTTTGTCAAAGCCCCTGCTCATCTTGTCCTGTATCAAGGAACTCTTACACAACTTTGCTCCCACAAGAACAACAGCCTTGGGGTAAGTACCGATTGCTGCTGCATACTTCACAGGAGCAAATCCAGCACCCTCTTCCATTGTAGGCTGGTTCTGTTCCATGCCCCCAAAATATAGGAGATGAAAGCATGGTTCAGGATGCAGGCCCAGTTGGCTCAGAAGGGCATCCAGATATCAGATTCGACCCTTATTTCAGCCAAGTCTCCAGGACTGGCCTCCCACTCTGAAGTCCCCCCCCCCCCCACTCAGAGCTCCCACCCCAGATCAGTCTGTGTGGTCACACAAGCATGACTTGGCAAAACTGTGCTGTAAACATTTACTTGCAACAAACACAACTGGGATCAATAAGCCAAAGCAAGTTTAGATATGGTTAGGCTAAAGCTTGCACAAGCCCAAGATGAAAACCACCCACTCTCAAATCCCAAGTGGCAGCACAGAGCGCCCCTGCACTGACTTGTCAAGGTGGTTTATAAGGTCACGAGCACCTGAGAAAAGAGCTTTTCTTCCTAGGGGCAGGAGACAAATGGTAGGCCTGTCCCACCATTGGTGTCAATATTTATCTACGGCCTGGGCATTCACGGCCATATAAAACCAGGCACCCTTTACAATCCACTCATTCACATCATTTGCCACTACAAAGCCCCCAAACAGAGATTTATTTACAGCTTGAGTTTCCTCTCTGCCACTGCTGTAGAGGCTGGCTGGTTGGCTGCAGGGCCCGTGGTCTATGTTGGCTGTAATCCTGGCAGTTTGAGAATAATGCTCTCCAAGTATTGCAGAACAGCCAATATCAAGTGGCACTGCACCTGAGGACAATCAAGAGGCAGGGAAAGGAGACGAGGCACCTGCTCTCTCCCTTCCCAGGTCAGGCATGGCTCATGCACTGGAAATGAGCAAGGCTTAGACCCCGCAGGAAAGAAACTGAACCCAGGCATTTCTGAGTGTCACTTCCTCACCCAGCAGGCAACTCCAGCCAGCATGGAAGAAGCTATAAAGAAGCCTTCTTTATGCTCAGCTCCAACCTTCCTCAACATCTTCCTCCTTCCCCCCTTCCCCTTTAGCCTCCCATTTTCTGCCCCCCGCCACACACACCACTAGTACCACTCCCAGTAAAGGTGAGTCGCAATTCGTCTTTCCAGGTAAATGTCAGATGAAATCATTAGCCCATTAATCTCAACTGTTAACTCAATTCACAATAGCTAAACTATAGAACCAACCTAGGTGCCCTTCAACAGATAAATGGATAAAGAAAATGTGGTACATATACACAGTGGAATATTACTCAGCCATAAAGAAAAACAAAATTAGGGAATCTGTCCGTAAAGTTCCAAATGGATGGAACTGGAGACTATGATGCTAAGTGAAATAAGCCAATCCTCCAAAAATCAAAGGCCGAATGTCCTCTCTGATAGGTGGATGCTGACTCACAATAAGGGGGGCAGGTAAAGAAGAATAGAAGTACTTTGGATGAGACAAAGGAGAATAAAGGGAAGGGAGAGGGATGGGAACAAGAAAGACAGTGGAATGAATGGGACAGAACTTCCCTGTGTTCCTATGTGAACACACGACCAGGGAAACTACACATCATGTCCAACCACAAGAATGGGAAGTTAGACTCCATGTATGTATGATGTCAAAATGCACTCTACTGTCATGTATAACTAATAAGCACAAATTAAATATATATCAACTGTATGAGGCTCTGGGGACTCTGGAAATATCTGTGCATAGTGGAAACCAGGTTCACAGATGGATTTTTCCCAAGTCTCTCCCCAGGACTCAAAGTCTTCAACGGGGTGCTAAGCTGGAGCTCTGTCAATGAGCTTTCCTGGCTTCCACCAAGGGGACACCCTTCTGTGTAAATCAAAGCCATAGTGGATGGCTCTCTGTGTAGTGACAAATTAAAGAAGGACCTGCAAGCCCAGGGCAACTGACAGGACAGATTTCTCAGGCTAGCTCTCACCGACTTGCTACACTACTCTTCTGATGACACAACCTTCCCCAGCAGACGGGCAGCCCTCCCATGTCCCTGTCCAGGACTCTGGGCACTGGTAAGGAACTTATACCTTCACCTTTATGCCTCCCAACAGGCTGCAAAACACTTCCACTGCCTTCTAAGCAAAATGTGACTGCGAGTGATGAGCTGACATGATGCCTGTGTGCCCATGTGCCCGTGTGGTCTGCCAGTGGCCAGCCTCCTGCCTCTGCTGAGAGCAGGCCCACAGCCGAAAAAGGTAGCAGCCGAGGGTCTAGTCAGCTTTCATTTCTTTCCTTATATAAAAACTATATATAACATTTAAACAGCCAGTATTTCCTCATGTACACTCCTGTTAATAATTCACAAACCCACCGACTTTCACCAAGGATCAGAAATTTTAAAGGTGGTTTGTGCAAACACTCCTTTTCTTGCTCTCACTGAACAACTGGTTCATTTAACCGATGGCTTCTGTGGCCATTAGGAGCAGGCAGCACTGCAAGCATATGAAGCCAGGCACACCACAAGCCCAGTCTCTTGGCCTCTGGGTTACACAGTCCAGGTATAAACATTGCTACTAAAACCATGGAAATCTTAAGTATCATTCCCTATGAATCTGCTCCTCCCAACTGCTGGGTCCTCAGGCAAGTGACTTAATTTCTGATACCAGTCTTCTTATCCAAAAATAATGAAGAAATTCAGTAAAAGTTCTACATAGTACAAACGCTGATACAATTTTTAAAATGTTGAAGTGCAGGAATAGAAAAGACAGTACAATTAATAAAGAAATTATATACCAGACTTGAACAAAATAATTACTATAATCCTGTGATAAGACACCATAACTATGGCAGCCAAAAAAAAAAAAAAAAGCAAGATCTTAAACCACACTTTCGAAACATACATGAAAGCAATCATTGTCTGTGTCATAAGAATATTATTAAATTCTCATTCTCTAAATATTTGTATGAGCTACAAGGTTACTCTGTGAAGTAAAATATTCAAATAAGTAGTACACAACATTAAAAATCCATCCTATTGAAAAGTAAATTATAGACATGCCAGTCAAAAATGAGTGTCTAAAACTTCCAGCATAAAAATGGAAGGAGCTATTATGTACAAAAAAGCCCTCTGAGAAAATGACATTCAGGCTTTATAATTTAGCCTTGACTTCCCTAGCTCTTCTGAAGGCTTACCAATTGGGCAGGGGCGGGGGGTGGGAATCAGTAATTTGGGTATCTTCTAAAGCAAAATTATCTAAAGAACATGAATTTGGATTTTTACTCATGAAAGCAGAATAAGGGCAGCACAGGGTGGTGTGTAAAGGAATCAAACATTCGAAATGGAAACTAATTCTTTTTGGTATTCATTTGGGAAGAATTGAGAAAAGTGGGGAAGATAGAATAAAATTATTTGACCACTTTTTCTCCTATTACCCAAGAATAGAGGACACGCACATGGCAGCCAATTACCTGATGCTACTGGGTGACCCTTCACTTTTCAGATATGGTTGGAAAGTAGGATCCCATCCCTGGAGTATTGAGAGCCATGATTGGATTTTTTCCCTATAGCTGGTAAGACATATTGGAAAAAAGAATGGATTAGGTCTGTATACTTTATGCAAAGTCTGACCACATTTAATATTTAATTTCTAACTAATCAACTTTTCCAGGGAAGAGTAATTTTACAAGTTTCCATGGATTGCAGCTCTTTCTGTAGCTATCACCAACAGCATTAATTTTGCCCTCATTTATTACCCTATTGTTTCTGACACTAACTGTAAGCTGGTCCATTAAATATTATCACCTAAAAAATTAAAATCAACAATTCTCTGAAATGTCTTTATATTTTTCATTTAATGAATATAATATTTCCACCCTGTTCTACACCAAAATTACAGTCATAGAAACAAAGTTTATAAAAATATCTTCAAAAAGCTGAAATAAAATTATAGTCCATTTCAATAAGAAAAAAAAAAAGATCCAACTGTAAATGTAACTCAAAGTCTACCTTTTATGTTAAGTGAGGAGTCTGTATTTCATGAACTGCAAAATTCCATAGTCCAAACTTCTTAAAAAGGTGAAAGGTGAAAAAAGTGCTTGTTTAGAACTAAAAATATTAATTGTATGGATAATAAATGAATGAACAATAAACATTCCCTGGCTCCTACAATGTTACATGACATTGAGAATAAAACTGTCATGTGAAAAACTTGTTCTTTTCCTTTTAAGTCCACATGCTTTTCATCGTCACCTTCCCAACCAGAGCCATCTTTCAATCTCCCTCATATCTTCCTTAATCACTGCAGTGCAAATCATCTCCCCTTCCACTCGATCCTATGTCTCTCTTCCATCCTTCTGACATTCTGCATTAACTCTGATGTTACTTTTCTCTCAGCCTAATTATGTAGGCTCACCCTCCAGCTACATTCTCTTTTAATTTACATTTGTCTTTATCCAGTACAGTAGTCAGGAGAACTCACTTATTAAAATCTACTGGGGAATGGAGGAATCTAAAATATAGAATGTTTTTGTATAGTAATAATCCCATATGTATATATACACAGGACATATATGGACACTACAGTGAATAAAATAGTATGTATTTGAGACTTAAAGACATCACCCATGCTTCCCATAAACTCTTTAGAAAGTGTTGTACAGTGAAAAACAAAATTTTATTTTGTAAAAAACATGAATATTGAAGAGCACAAAGTATTAATAAAAAATAATCTCAAGTATATATGCAATTCCCTAAATATCAGGCATTTTGAGAAGAATATTAATAAGTACCATCACATTCTAGGATAGAATGTAAATTCCTAATTTATCTACAGTCATAAAAAGCTTAAATTTAAAGAGGCCTACATTTAGGACAAAACTTACAAAAAAGATATCTGTCCTTGAAAACAACACATTCAATTAATGTTAGGTGCAGAGCAAAGTATAATACAATTTCACAGCACTGGGAGATCAAGTAGATACAAAATATTTCAATAAAACTTCTAACCACGTAAGGTGACCCAAGACATTTCCTAATATCCATTATCAGGATGTTTTAGAATGTGTGTCTATGCTGCAGCATCAGCAAGAGAATATACTACATAAATAATATATTATCTAAATATATAAAGTGTACTTTTTGATATAACACAAGTAATCTGTAAATTACGAAAATAAAATTTCTCACAAATTGCTTATCAGGATTAAATTTTTTCTTCACTATGCTACATTATATGCATAAATATACATCATCATCATTATTATCCTTTTTTTTAAACTCCCATAAGCACTGGGTCATAATTTTAAAATATTAGGTACAGGCTTTCCGGTTTTCAGAAAAGAAAACCATAGACATGATTTATAAAATTCATTTCTGGTTAAGACTTCAGAAAAACACAAACCCAACTGCTTTTATGATTCAAAATTTTCAGTTACATTTGATATATTCGAATAAAGAGTTCAGGGCATAAACTGCTGAGAAAAACTTTAAAAAGGACCTAATTTTCTAATTCATCAAACATCAATAAATTCTATGTAGTTTAATATAAGTCCAAAGCTATAGTATGTGCTGCCTTACAGTTACACTGTAAGTTATATATAAACCTCGGTATTAAAGAAAAGTTTATGTTTAAAAGAATAGTTCCACTTCGTTAAATTTAAGACCACATTACGTAATTGAAGAAAGCCAATTAAGACTCCATTTTCAAGGTCTTTGTGGCTCCCAGCCCCCATTCCCCTCACCACTTCCTCACACTGTTTTTTTTTTTTTTTAATTGGGTTACAATCAGATCTTCTTGAGAAGATTTAGTTATAAGCCAATACGGGGTGAGGAATTATATTTTGTAGGGTTTAATCTTAAAAGAACAATCTTTTTTTTTTTTTTAAATATTTTATTTTTTAGTTTTCCGCGGACACAACATCTTTGTTTGTGTGTGGTGCTGAGGATCGAACCCTGGCTGCACGCATGCCAGGCGAGCGCGCTACTGCTTGAGCCACATCCCCAGCCCAAGAACAATCTTAATGTTACTTCACTGTAACTCCTATGCATCTATAACTAAAGATCTGCACAGTTAGTACAGAATAAGTACCTCTTATCTGAAAAGACTGGTACCAGAAACGTTTCAGATTTTTCTTTTCAGATTTTGGAATATTTGCATATACATAATAAGATATCTTGGGGATGGAAACTAAGCCCAAAGATTAAACCCATTAGTTTCATACATACCTTATACATGTAGCTTAAAGATAATTTTCTACAATATTTTCAATAATTTTGTATGTGAACCAAAGTTTCATGATGTAGAATTTTGACATTCAAAGTCTCATTATGGTGGTGTGTCTCGTTGACATTCAAAAAGTCTCAGACTGACTATCTATCTATACTTTCAGATTAAGGATAATTAATTCTAAGTGCAATCAGATTGCTAGACTCTAACTTTCTAAGAATGAAAAAGCTTTAAAGAGACAGACCCTGAAAGGCAATTCCTGCTGGATGAGCAGACTAAACAAAGGTAAAAATGAGGCTCAGCATCTCTAAATAACTACAGAAAAACGCCTAGAATGCTTCAGAAAGACATGGCATGAAACAGTTAAATTGGGCATGTCAAAGTTCTAAAGATCCCTGAAGGTCTAACATAAACTCTAAAATTGCTATTAACTATTTGGAGCATTTTAATTTGTATGTACCTTTTTGCAAAAGCAACATGGCTAGGAGAGTTCATTAATTTTCTTCAGAATTTCATAAAGTTATTAGATTAATAAGACTGTACAGAGCAAGCAGCTCCCAAAAGCCAAGTGCTACATCAAGAGTTCTGAACACAACAGCACACACTACACTAGGTAGAGCTAGTTGTAGCAAAAGAGGGGGCTGTCATTTTTCTATAAGAACAAATCTAAGTTGGACTGTGGATGTGGCTCAAGCAGTAGCGCACTCACCTGTCATGCGAGGGGCGCTGGGTTTGATCCTCAGCACCACATAAAATAAAATAAAGATGTTGTGTCCACCGAAAACTGAAAAATAAATATTAAAAAATTCTCTCTAAAAAAAAAAAAAAAGAACAAATCTAAGTATAGGACTGTACCAAAGCAGGCAAAGAAATATGAAACTAATCAGTTCATGGGAAAGTTGAAAGTAAAATATGCCTTATTTAGAACCAGGGACAATGAAATCCAGAAAGCTAATATTAAAAAAAGTCAACCTACAGGTAAATGGAGGAAGCTAGTAAATAAAAAAAGAATGACACTGAACAAGAATGTTCAAGAGGCACTTAAAAGAAACAGTGTGGCCAGCACTAATAGCTGCCTTAGTTCTCAGGGCTTTCTCACTCAAGCAAGTTTGCTATAAATCTTTCTGTTCTCTTGAAGTAATTTGAGTCTCTTCCTCACAAATATAAACACTTCTAAGTATTCCCTCTATAGAGTATAACTAATATGCTGACTACCCAGCTTCCCCTAAAATGGATATAAGCCTTCCTTTTCCTGCGAGAAAGAAACCATTCCATATGGTTTATATGGGGCTGGTAACACGCACCCCCATCCTCCTCAAAATACACACATTCACACTCCCTTCCTGTCAACTGGCTCTTAGACATTCCCACCCTCTCTCACTAGCCCATGAGTTCTTTTAATCTTCTACTCTCCTACACAGGCTCTCACACTCTCTCCTACACACTAACCTACACAGATTTATGCCCAAGCAATCCAAATACTCATTCCACTGGCCTCAATGCTTTGTTCAAGGCTGTGTACCAGGTCCCCAGGAAGCTAGAAAAAGTCCTCCCCATGACTTGCCCATACTAACATTACTGGCCAAACTGCCAGCCCTACAGAGCAACACAAAAAGAGGTAGAGTCCTAAAGACCCCGAGAACTTGTAGGCATACATACCACTCTTGGTATTCAGGACCAAATCCTTTTCCCTTAAACTTCGGAGCTGAAATCCTGAAGGAGTCCTGATACATCCTTTCAGGACTCTGAGTCAGAGATTTACAGCATCCCCAGGAACTCATCAAACCTCTACTTGTTTCTACCAGCAGAATGGTAAAAGGACTAAAAACTTTGTAGTAAGTGTCCTTCCTAATCACTTTTTGTAAACATAAAGTGAACAGCTAATTAAGAATTCAACATTAAAAACTGAAATTGTTTCTTCCATCCTACTCAAAGATTCCCTGAGTAGCACAAAAAGGAACAGACCCGTTCACTGTTCCAAGTTTTAAAATCTAACAATACATTTTCCTACTAAAGACGGAAATTTCTGATGAGGTGAACACATATACACAAAATTCAATAGCACTCTGGCAATTAAATTTGTCTGTGTCAGAATCCATTAGATATTACAAAAGTAGAAATTGAACTAGTCTTATTTACAGCCTCTGGCATATGGCAGGTGTGCTACAATTTCTTAAACGAATGAATAAATGTACTATGCCTATTCAGACACTTATTCTATAATCATTGCTACTTTTCACTTAGATACCATTATCTGTAAAGCACTCTACTGGGCACAGAGAAAATGCAAAGATCAGATAGGAACTCAGTTCTCAAAGAACATCCAAGCATTTTTGTGGCCAAAGACCCTTTATGAATTTTGGTGAAAATATGGGCACTCTATTCAGCAAAATACCTAAGCAGATACGATAAGATTCTGCATAAATTTCTAGGGATTCCCACAGTAAGAATTCCAGACTTAGTAAGATAAATAACACAATGATATAAATGCATTCATAAAACACTGTGGTTTTTTATTTGTTGGTTTTTATACACTAAGAAGAAACTTCTGAAAGATGAAACAATACTTTCAGAAATTAATTATATAAATTGGGAGCCTTTGTATAAGAAATATTAACATGCTGTGTAGCATGAAAATATAAACAACTATATACAAATGCAAAGGTTTTCTTTCAACACATAAAGCATAAATGAGATTAGAAACTTTTTATTATGAGAAAAAAATAACAAATATTGGCAGAATCCAGTCATGAGAAAGACACTGACTGCCCTTAGGTTTTACAGTTTTTGAAGTCTAACATTTAACTATCTTTATTGATTTAAGTGTTACATAATAATTAGGACTAGTGATCATTAAACTTTTAAATAGCATCAATAATAACTAAAATATATGGATGAATGGAGAAAGAACATACAGCAATGTAATCTACATTTTGAAATTCTGAGATGAAATTTCCTCTTGGGTTACAGGTTTCAATCAGATGACTAGCATACTCCTCAGCTTAAGAGGACATAATTTCACAAGACTAACTTTGACACCCAAATTTATCAAGCACCAAAATATACCATTCTACAATAAACAAGTTTTCTCCAACTATAATTTTAGAAAAACTTTACAATTTCAAGTGAATAGAGATCCTAAAAAGCTTAAGCTATTGAATTTTGCTTACTACCTCTCTAAAAACAACCAATTAAAAAGAAGTCAATTACTATTAAGAAAAATTTTCAGACTTGTGGACAAAACACAAAGCAAACCTATAAACCTGCATCAGTAATATCTTTTTTTTTCCTTTTTCTTAAGTGCTTTTCCAGTGAGTTATACTCTCACACAGAAATATTTTCCAAAGCAAGTGAAAAAAACAGAAAGCACCAGAATGAAGTTGATGTCCCAACAAGATCAATGGACAGATGTCAAAGTTAGAAGCAACCTCAGAAATTACCCAAACCATTCCTCTCTTTTATGTATGAAAGTCAAAGCACAGCAAAAGCATGCTCAATAAATTAAGAACAGATTCCAAATTTATGGAACAGACACAGGCCAAACATAACCAATATAAGTACCACAATAATGTATTTTAAAACATGAAAATTAAATTTAACAAATCTAAGTACTTACATTAAGAAGTAATTCATCTTTTGTTTTAAGAGGAAAATTCTTATTTTCTTTCTCAACTTGTAAATCATCATCTCCATCTGTCAACACTGGAGGAAGTGATATATGAGAGGAAGAGGAAGATGAGGAAGAAGACGATGAGGAAGAAGAGGAGCTTGAACTATCTGAATCTGTTTCACTGTTGGAGGAAAAAAGTTGAAAACTTGGTCAGTATTATTATAATGCTATTAAAATAAGATCATTCATCTACTTTACCCTGCTTACTACTCCAAGTCTAATTCAAAAGCTAGCATTTCAAAGCTTATTATAATATTGAGAAAGTAGTCTTTATTCTACCAATAACATTTTCAAAATCTCTGCTATAATCCAGACCCTTACTGCCATAGTTTCACATGTTACATGTCTAAGTATAGTTAAGTAAGTGACAATCTCTGCCTAAAGGATGCTCTAGGCAGGGCACCTTTTTTGGTCACCAATGAAAGAGTTTCTTCTGCCTTTAGACTACTGGGGAACCTTGTCTTCTCTAGTAGCTGAACAGCCTCTCCCCACAATAATCACCCCTTCATCCCACTGCTGTTATTTTCAGAATTTTATGATCCTCCATCCTAATCAGTTCATGCTCTTGCTTTTAAAGAATTGTTCAAGTACACATTAGATAAGAGGGAATTATTAATTTTATATAAACAGTATTTATGTATTAGTATTTTATTACAGTATTGTGTTTGAGAATGTTTCCCTTCAAGAACATATGCTGAAATATTTAAAATCTCATGATGTCTAATAACTTTAAAATGGTTCAGCAACATATTAAACAGTTAAAAAATGTTAAAACTGTTAAATCAAGGTGATGGCTATACTGGTTTGTACTAGTGTGTGTGTGTGTTTGTGTATACACGCATGCACACATGTGCGTATTGGGGATTAAACCCATGGGCACTGAATTGCATCCCCATCCCTTATTTTGAGACAGGGTGTTAAGTGGCCCATACTGGCCTTGAACTTGTGATCAGGACTCCTGTCTCAGTCTTCCAAGTAGCTGGGATTATAAGCATGCATCATTGTGCCCAGCTTCTTCCACTTTTCACTAGAAAATATTCAATCATATAGAAAAGTTTTAAAAGTTTTTCTATAAATTTATACTACATCCAAGATAAAAATCAATGACATTCTTCACAGGACAGTCCTAAAATTCATTTGGAAGAATAAAAGACAGAGAATAGCCAAAATCAATTCTAAGCCAAAAAAGCAATACTAGAGACATCATAATACCTGACTTCAAATTACACTGCAGAGCTATGGTAACATATGCATGATACTGGCATAAAAAGACACATAGACCAATGGTACAGAATAGAAGACACACAGACCATTGGTAAAGAATAAAAGACACAGAAACAAACCCACATATCTATAGCCCAAAACATACACTGGGAGAAAAGATAGTCTTTTTTCCAAATGATGCAGGGAAAACTGATTATCCATATGTTTAAAAAAAAAAAAAAGAAAGAAAGAAAGAAAGAGAGAGAAAAAAAAGAAACTATATCCTTATCTCTCACCCTGCACAAAAATCAACTCAAAATGGATCAGACCTAGGAATTAGACCAGAAACTAAGCAACTATTTTCTCAATAGGACCCCTAAAGCTCAGGAAATAATTCCAAGGATTAATAAGTGGATGGCATCAAATTTAAAAGCTTCTGCACACCAAGGGACACAATTAGGAATATGATGAGAGAACCTACAGAATTGGAGAAAATCTTTGTACTCTTCTGACAGAGGATTAATATCTAGAATACATAAAAGAGCTCAAAAAACTTCACACCAAAAAAGCAAATAACCCAATTAATAAATGACAGACTCAAATTAAAAACAGTTCTCAAAAGAAATACAAATGGCCAACAAATACATAAAAAACGTTCAACATTGTTAGTCATTAGGGAAATGCAAATCAAAATGAGATTTTATGTTATGCTAGTCAGAATGACAGTCACCAAGTACACAAATAATAATAAATGCTGGAGAAGATGTGGAGAAAAAAGGAACACTTTCACACTGTTGGTGTGATACTGTAAAATAGTACAAACATCAGTATGGAGGTTCCTCAAAAGACTAGGCATGGAACCACCATATGACCCAGTTGTAACATTTCTCATTATTTATCCTTAAGAATTAAAGTCATCATACTAGCATGATACATGCATACCCATGTTTATAGCAGCATAATTTACAACAACCAATCTATGGAACCAGCCTAGGTGTCCATCAACGATGAATAGATAAATAAAATGTTGTATATATACACAATGGAGTTTTATTCAGCCATAATGAAAAATGAAATTATGTCACTTACAGGAAAATGGATAGAACTAAAGACCATTATGATAAGTGAAATAAATCAAAACTCAGAATGTTGTTTTCTCTCATATGTGGAAGCTAGAGAGGAAAAAAAGGGGGGAGGACTCTCATGAAAAGGAAAGGGAAATCAGTAGAGGAAAGGGACCAAGGGGTGGGAGATGGGGTGGGATGGGCAAAGTGCTTGGGAGTGATATTGGACAAATTATAGTGTATTATGTGCATCTACAAATATAAAAAACAAATTCTATCAGTATGTACAACTATAACGTGCCAAAAAAATGTAGGAAAAAAAAGTTTTCCTGTAAATTTATACTGTATCCAATATGAAAGTCATGCTCCTTAGCATGAGATCTTAAGAGTGTTAGCAATCAGGTTCCTGGTAAACTCCACAATCCCATCTCCCACCACTTCTCACATGGATCCCATATCTAGCATACAAACTCATATAACTTTCCATAGCCCCTAACATTTTCACAACACACCACTGCTTGCGCTATTTTCCTTGCCTGCAATGCCCTCAACCCAGAAAAATTCTCTTTATAGTTTCAACTCAAATATTATCTCCTATGAAACCACCCCCACTCACCAAATTTACTTCTTTCCCTAATTCCCACAGCAATTCTCAAATTGCTACTATACTCTATTAGTACTCTAACATAATTCTTTGAAAACCATGCTGGGTTACCAAAAACCTGAAACCAAATACCACATATATGTATCAAAACGTTGTCTAACTACTAGTACAGGGCAATGGTTGTACCACTTTTCATTTTTTCAAATATTTGGTACCCCCTTCCATCATCCACATATGGTCAGTACTGTCCCCATATTGTTCGGTTTATTGGAATGACATACCCCAATGCCTGCCTTCAAAACTTGTCCCCAGATCATCTAGCACTTACTTCACTTTCCTAGTGACATGGACTCTGAAATCCCATAAGATGATTATAATCTGAGAACTGCCAAAATATCCTGCCTTGTTTATAAATGGCTTACTTGCCCCTCTCCTCTATACATTCCTTCTTGCTGTATTTAAATTCTTCATCCTTCTCCATACCCTCTACTCTTAGTTGATATTTCCCTGAAAACTCCTTTTCTCCTCACTGTGTATCCTCAGTACCTGCTCCCACCCCCAATTATTCAAATATTTGTAGGTAATGTTCAATGAGGTTTTATTACAAGCCATATACTGGAGCCTTCTCTCACAAGACACAAGGAAGGAGGGTTGTTTTATAAAACGTATTTAGAGCATAAAAAACTAAATAACTGTTTAGCTAATTTCATGAACTTGTACTCCCTACAAGGATTCTAAAATTAACATGATTTTCAAGAACTTCAGAACACACAAAATAATGCTTATGATCCTTATTTCATCTGATAAAAAAAAAAAAAAACCCAGGACTACACTCTAGACTTAACACACACACAAATAATAATAACAACAACAACAAACAACAACAAAACAACTGTAACTCAGATCTGACCCAAAAAGTTACAGCCACAGAGTATATGCCAAACTGAATAGTTAAAAGAAAAAAAGAAAAAAAAAACAGACTTCGAATTGAAAATTACACTCCCCATACATAAAACCACTTTGGCTATCAAATTTAGAAAAGTAGCGTGCAAGGCAAGAGCTAAGCAAAGGGCAGTGCAAACTCGCGGTCAACACGTGCGCCCCGAGTACCAGCTACCTCACCGCCCTCTAAGCCCACCCCGGCACCTTCTGGGCTCATAGGTGCCGCTCCCAGCGCGGGTCACACAAGCTCCATCCCCGCAGCTCCGGGGCTCCTAGGCACTCCACCTGTCGGAGTCCGAGTCCCAGGTCTCCGAGGAGTGCGGGGTCTGCGCCAGCCGGGTGGCGGCCGGCCGGTGATGCAGGCCCCGCAGCGCGGCAGTTCTGGCGCAGGCTGGGGCGCAGGGCTCCCGCCCGCCTCAGCGCTCGGGGAAGGCGGTGGTGGTTGCTCCCCTGCAGGCTGAACCTCCACGGCCTGCTCACCGTCTGGGCAACCCTCTTCCGACTGCAGCGGCGGCTGCGACCCCGGCGCGGGAACTGAGTCCGGAGACTGCACCTCTGCACCATGGTCAACCCCAGAGCCAGGGCCACTGAATTTCAGGGTTTCCAGCTGAGCGGCCGCAGCCTCCACTACCTCCATCGCGCCGCGCCAGACACCGAGACGGCCTCACGTTCCGGACCTGCAGACAACCTCTCTTCTCCCGCCAAAGAAAGTAAACCTCCCTCTGCAAGGGAGACAACCTTGCCAGATGCAAAGGTTCCGCGTTCCACAGGTGCCTGAAGACACGCCCCCGGCGTTATCCAGCGACACTTCCGGGAGAGCGTGTGACGTAACGTGACGCGACGGCGCGACGCCATTCACTGGAGGCGGGCCTACCTGGGCCCTTGGGAAGTAGGCCACAGTACTGGGAGCGCCGATTTGAAGCCTGATTAGGGAACAGGAGAGGTGCCCAAGGAGTGCTAGGTTCTGTACAGCAGAATCTTAAGCCAGTTGTTTTTGTATTTGTCCCCTCCACTCCCACCCCAACTCCGGGAACTAAGCATTGAACCCAGGCACACCAAGCCTTTTTTGAGATGGGATTTCAACAAATTTTTAGGGCCACGCTAAATTGCTGAGGCTGGCCTCGAACTTTGGACCCTCCTGCCTCAGCATCCCCAGTCGCTTTGATTACAGGTGATTGTCATCATGTCCGATTTAAACCAGGACATCTTGAAAAGACCTTTCTGGTAATTTAATTGAAGTTAGATTGGTGGACCTACAGATAGAAAGCACATTTATCAAACATCTCAAAAAAAAAAAAAAAAAAAAAAAAGCTGGGCGCAGTGATGCATGCTTGTAATGGCAGGGACTGAGGCCAGAGGATCACAATTTCAAATTCAGCCTCAGCAATTTAGCAAGACCCTGTCTCAAAAAAAAAAAAAAAAAGGACTGGGGATGTGGGTTAGCGTTGAAGTGTCCCTGGATATAACTCCCAGTGCTGGAAACAAACAAAACACCAAACCTACAATTATTCCGTTTCTCTTTTCCCCAAAGTACTCCCAAAATAGCAGTAACAGCGAGATTTTGCTGCTTGTTGATGTTATGTGGATGTCCTTATTGTAGTTGACTCTGCTTCTCAGAAAGGATGGGATGACACCAACCTGGGAAACCTTTTGGTTCCTGCATTTCCTGAGAAACCTTTAGTTTGGATTGTAAAGAGGGTAAGATAAAGTTCTTATCACAGAGGAAGATAGACTTCTCTGTTTTCCTATTAGATCTTCATTGTGATGTATCAGTTACTCGAGTAATAATCATTAGTACAATTTGCTAAGCATGCATATATTATCAAGGACTGTGCTAAAGATTTTATAAATTATTCATTGAGAATTTATTATAGACCATCCATAGTAGTAGAACTTTCACACAAATTTAAGGCAAATATAATCAATTACTCTTCAGTATCCAAGGGGAATTGGTCCCCAGGGCCCTGCAAATATCAAATTTTAAGGATTTTGATGTAATAGTTAAAATGATGTAATAATTTATAATCTATACACATCTTCCTGTCTGTATACTTTAAATATCTTTAGGATTATTTAGATATTTACAATATCAAAAACAGTATAAACAGTATGTAAATTATTATAGTATGTTTTAGGAAATGACAAGAAAACATTCAGTGTTGACAAAATTTTAAGAACTATTTTCAAACATTTGTTGGTTGAATTTATGGATGTGGAACCTACTGATAGGGTCAACCGAAGAAGGCAGATAACCATAATTTTAAGGAATTTACAATCTAGTAGAAGTAAAAAAAGGTAAATGTACAGGAGATAACTAGAAAGAAATTTAATAGAAGATGCAAGTGTTGCAGCAAAGGGAACTTAGGTAGGGCTGGTGAGCTGTATCATGGAAATCCTCCCAAGTGAAACAGGAATTTAAATTTGAAATAGTACGTAGTATTGTAGTGATTTAGTAGAGCTCAGAGTTTCCAGACAAATATAACTTCAAATATCACTTTTACCATTGTGTTCAACTTTCAGTTTTACTATTGTTGTGTTGGTGTAACTCACCTTGAGTGGTAAGTTATATACCTAAACATCAATTTCCTTATCTGTAAAATGGAAAAGAAAAATACTATCTCATTTAGTTCTTGGCATATTAAATAAGTTTGTATTGAGGAGAATGGCATGTTGTGTATATTTAGTGTGAAAAATTGAACAATGCATACATAAACCTATGAATCAAATAACACATCATTGACAATGACAAAATGTCTGATGCATTTTTCCAGGAATTAATTGATAGAAGTCTGAATCAAGGGATGAGCCCATGAAATAGAGGAAAGGTAATTCTAAATATCTGGACTGAATCAGCACACTCTAAAATTCCTGACCAATGGAACTAGAAAGTTGATATTACCAATAAAAATGAAGTAGTTGGAAAGAGATAATAAGCACATGAATTTGAGTGAAAACTGGTCAGTCATTTGTGCCATTGGACATTGAAGAACAGATTGGAATTCAATAGAAGGGTTAAGACCAGAAACAAATTCAAGAATAATTCAATCACTATGAACTGTGAATACAGGCAGGTAAATAAATCATAGTCCTTGCCCTTAAGAAACTAAGCTAGTTTCTTAGTTTTATAAAAAACAAGTTGAAAAACAAGTAATATGTACTATATTAGAGGCATATAGAGGAATGTACATATGGGAAAAATAAAAAAGAAGGTACTGGGAAAGCTAGGGAAGGTATCGAATATTACTAGAGATATGTCATGACTGTAAGATTAATGACAGTCATAAAGCCACTTAAGCATCTAACAGGCCCATAGTACACATCACACAGCAGTATGATTACAAACTGGCCCCAGGAACTTCCAGGAGACAAAGGCACCCCCATACAGATGAAACTTCCATGAACCTTAAGAAAAAGTTTATCCTTAAGCGAATAGCTTAAACTCCCTTTATGAAAGAAATACCTTGTAACTGATATTTTCCAAAATATAGGAATAAGAGGAGAAAAGGAGCACCAAAACCTGAGAGTGGTCATGGTGAAGGACATATGTAAGTTGGTCATCTGACACCCTTATTGTTATCTGGCCCATGCCACTGGTCTGCTCCCGCTTTCCACCTTGGAAGACCATAATAACCTGTTTGAGAATCACAGCCACTAAGACTCAACTTTGACTAAAATGGAACCAAAGGGAAGAAGGGGCCACTGGGAAAGTAAACCAGGATCACCCTGTCCTCTACCCCGTGCCTCTGCAACAGAAGGCTTTACAATGAATGTGATATTTGTGCTGGGACTTTAAAGAGAACCATTAATTTGTTCATCAGAGAAAGTAGGAAAACTCCATACAGGAAACTAAATAGGATCGTTTAATTTCTTGCTTCAAACCCTGAATATTTGATAACACTTGAAATAAAATCCAGACTCCCAGCTTTGATTTTCAAAACTCTATCTGGGGTGGAGGCTACTTCCGCTTCTATATTTTACCATCTCGCCCTCCTTTATTGCCACAAATTTACTGGTCTTGATCGCCCTTCATCTCACCAAGTTTATTCTTTGCATGTGGCATTTTCACTTAGTTTTTCCTATCCCCATAATACCGTGGCTTATTTACTCTTATCTCAATTTTATTTTATCTCAACTCAAATATAACACTCTAAAGAGAGTTTTCCAGAATATCCAATCTAAGAGTCCTTCAATACCAGTCACCCTCTAAATTATTGCTCATTGTTTCCTTTAAATAGTACTTATCTTCAAGTTGTTGTATTTGTTTACATCTTCCTTGTCTCTGTTTTCCCATAAATTAAAGTCTCATGAACCCAGGAATTTTGTCTAAATTCACAGCTATTTCTTCAACTCTAGAATCATAGTAAATCCTATAAAGGTTTCTGAATAGAAGAATGAAAGAAAGAAAACAAATAATAGAGCTTTATGGGACAATTGCAGTAAGGAAGATGCTTCACATATAAAGGTACAGAGAATATTAAGTTTATCTGTTCAATTTAAATTAATATGATTATATAAGGAATGCTACAGTTGCAGATAAAAATTTTTGTTTATGAAATGGGGATGGTCTCTGGGTTGCAGAATAAGAATAACTGTACCTATGCCTAGCTTCAAAATAGGTCACTCTTTCACAATGGGTATTTTTTCTAAGTGCCTGAATGTTCCAAAATGTCCTGAATTTACCTCCAGCACTTCAGAGCCTGCCTGTCTACTGCATTATTTCTAACAGCTGCTAAACTTAGCCTGAAGTCTTTAGCCTAAGGCTAAATCTAACAAAACTCATTGAAAGACTGAGGAGCTTACAGGATCACTAAAATTAAAAGAGAATTTACAGTGAATTAAATTTTGAGTTAAAGGCCAGTCACATTTCAAAGTGAACATGTAAAATAGTCTTTAAAGTTCAAAAATAAAGTTCATGAGAGCATACATTTGAGTTTACCAATCTCTATGTATTCTAAATATTGAAAAATTTTATGAAAAAAGACCCAATAACTTCTTAAAGCCATTTTTTTCACTGTTTTGGAGTGCTTTCGCTACTTAGAAATGCTGTGGCAGATAAGCAGCTTTGAATCATATGGAAATATGATGCAGAATCTTAGGCCTTATACACTAGACCTTTGACATCAGAAACTGCATTTTAATGAGACTTCCCATGTGATGTGCATGCATGCTAAAGTTTAAGAAACTCAGTGGCTGTGTCAGGGAGAGAACATCCCTAGACTAGCATACTGCTTGAAAATAAAAGGAAGTGAACCCTTTTGTAAAAGAGTAGTTAAAGTGCTGAGCCACTGAAACTAAGATGAAGAGACTGAATGTCTGTCTATTGATACCCGTAACTTGGATGCCCTATGAGTGAGATACATAAATACATAAATAGCATTTGTGTGTGTGTGTGTGTGTGTGCGCGCGCGCGCGCGCGTGTGGTGCGTGCATCAGGTACAGTTTTTCTAAGCACTTTGTAAATTTAAAACTTCTTTCCACAAAACTTTAAAGTAGACATAATTATTATCCCCATTTTCCAGTTCAGGAAGTTGAGGCTCAAAGAGGTCAGTTTTGCATTGGTGTGACCAAAAGACCTGACAGGAACAACTTAGAGGAGTAAACATTTATTTTGGCTCATGGTTTAAGAGGTTCAGCCCATGGTTGGCCGAACCTAGAGCTCTCTGGGCCCAAGGTGAGGCAGATCATCATGGTAGAAGGTCATGGTAGAGGAAAGCAGCTCAGGACATGGCAACTAGGGATCAGAGAGAGAGAGAGAGAGAGAGAGAGCGTGCACGTGCTCCATTCACAAAGACAAACTATAAATTCCATA